ATACCTCAATTAATTGCTCAACATGTATATGCTATTTTCAGTATTAGAAAACACTACAAGACAGTCTATTTGATATAAGAGACAGAGAATGAATAAGCAGAAACAGGATAATTCGACTCATTGAGCTAGTGCTGATGGTAGATGAACAACAAGACAGTCTACAATATGCTCAGTATTAGCAAACACTACAAGACAGTCTACAATATCAGTTTTCGCAATCATATGAATCAGCCTAAGCTAAGTTTAGATTCAACTTACCAAACCAAACCATATGCAAGAAATCAGAAAAACTTATGGAAACAACTAAAGAAGCTTATTCTTTATATTTCTAATCAATACATATAATTGACAATGGATGTGTAACTACATCCCAAAGATTAGAGAAGACAAAATACTTTATTTTCTGGTACCAGATCAAGCATACCTGATGGAGCAAAGCCAAGGCATGAGCATCTCCTAGGATCAAGCTGAGGGTCATTGAAGACTCTAGCTTCCTGAATCACTGCTCCCTTCTCAATTCCCATGAATCGAGATTACTTTAGTGAGCCACAAACATTAGCAAAAATGACATAAGCAACCATTTATAGACCCAGAAGAATAAGCATTTGATCTACAACATTAGCATTAGATCTGAGACTAGCAAACCAGAGATATGGTGAAACGAAAAAGATAAAAAAGGGTTATGAGAAGGCATATTACGCTCGTCGTCGTGATCATCGTCTTTTTTCACGAGCGGTTGAACTATCACTGATCTTCTGAGATCTCACTACGATTACGAAGGTAGGGTTTGGTCAGATCTTCTCCGTTTTCAGTGAACGAGAGCATAAAAGGAGAAGAAGTTAGGGAATTTAAGATCTACGATTTCGAAGAGGAAAGGGATTTCATACCTAAGGAAAGACGGTGAGAGAGAGATAGAGAGGTGGAGAAGTGCGATCAACATGCACGACAACGACGGCAACATCACGCCGGCGATTACAACTCAATCGCCGTCGGAATCGGCCTCTCTCAATCGCCACAGAGAGAATGTTCGAGAGAGAACGCGTTTTGGAAAAAATGTTTTTTTCATTTTTGTTTTGGGCCAAACAAAAAAATAAGCGGTTCACTAAAAAACCGCACGTGTCCTGGTGATACGTTTCTTCCGTCTCACTCCTTTGATATGTATCAGAAAAAGAGTTGTGTATAAAATCAAATTTTCAATTATTTTTAATAAATTTAATCTCCTCATACTATTATTGTATCAGCGTTGTGTGTGCTCTAAAAAAAATAAATCTTAAATATTCTATTTCC